TGTGTGTGTGTGTGTGTGTGTGTGTGTGTGTGTGTGTTACACTTACTGTGCATGTTTGTAGCTCTCTTGCATGTCTCCTAACATTAACACAGCTACCCATTTGTAATACTCTGATAATAACATTAAGTAATAAATAAATAAATAAATCTGTTCATTACAACAATCAGAAATCATAAGTGAGCGAGGTACTCTTTGTGAGGCAGCAACTTGTAAATCTTCATCGTGCTGAAGACGACACAGTTCAGTTTTATTTACACAGCGCCAGGTCACAGCAGCAGGTGCCTTTACACTGGAAGGTAGAGCCCACAATATGGTTTGCATGTGATAAATAACACTTACAGGGCAGCAGTGAGTAGTCAGAACTATTATTTCATTTACAATGAAAAGTCCTTCTCCAACCACTTTCTCCCCTCAGTCCTGGTGAAACTGACGATTCTCTAATGTCAAATATCTGCCAGAAACCTCGGTATCATTTATGACTAACAATGAATTCTCCATAGCTCTTCTCCAATTAGTGCAGTGCAAAAACTAGCCTGTGGTCACATATTGCACCGTTTCTTGCTTCACAGGCTCCCAGTGAAATGCTGAATGCACTTTAAAACTCTGCTATGAACACATGAAGCCCTACGTGGACAGACTCCTGCTTATATAGCAGCGCTTCTAACGCCTCATCAGTGCAGCGGGCCTTTCTAATCATTTAAGCAGGGTTTAACTGTCCTTCGCTCTGAGGTTGTGGAATAGCTCTCCTCAGTCAGTCAGACTGTTATTTGTTCTAAACGCTCCTTTTTATAGGTTAGCTGAGAAACACAAATAACCACATTCATGACACGTTTCCTGTTACACACTTGATGTCTGATACATGCATAGTTGGTAGTGTGTTGTCTCATAGCTGACACAGAGACATCTGCACAGAGCGTCGTGGTCACTGCTGACACAAGCATGGCCTCAGAGTGGGCTTCAGGCCTACAAGCTGCCACTGTATGAGTGTGCACTGCTCCTTAGTAAGATCTGCTGTCACATCCAATATACAATCTGCAGGATAGCAATGACTACAGCTCAGCTTAGACTGAATAACATGCACATGTTATGAACAGAGGCCATGGTTTCTAGGTTCTCTTTCTGATATCACACCTGTTGAGCTGACTGTGGGACATTACTTAGTTAAATTGTGTTGTAGTTCAAATGCAGCAGAGATGTGTAACATGTGAGAAGCATTCAGAGCTGAGAGTAACATCAGCAGAGTCATGGGAATACTTGTGTCTGCTGGTGGAAAACTGAACTGCTTTGACTGAATGGCCCATGAAACATGCAGTGTGTGATTGTCAGCCATGTTTACATTAGTGGTTTCCATGCCTACAGAGGAAACAGGCTGTGAGTCACGCTCATGTGCTGACAGACTGCTGTTATATAAAGTCTTGAGAATTCAGGTGCAGTTGTAATGAGTTTGTAGCTGTAAGTGCAACAGAGCATCAGACTATAAACAGATGACGTTTGAGTGCATTGCTGCTGAAACATGCCTTTGAAAGAGAATACATGATTTCTGATGATATGCATCACTTTCAGCGCTGTTAAAATAACAACCTGCTTGTGACAGGCTAATCATCAGCATCTCCACCACACCGGATCAACTACACCTGCCTTATTAGTGAGTCACTGATGTGCTACAAAGAAGCAGTGAGATGTCAGGCATTATTCAGAGCCGCATTATATAAATTCCAATTCAGTCCTGAGAAAATTCCTGACACAGAAAACAAACAGGTGACAACTGAAAGGAAGACTAAACAAAACTCAAACCCTGACAGAGGAGACGAGGTGGCTCCGCTGTGCTGCCTCTGTTTGGGTCTGCACTCACCTTCCTGCAGGCCGCCTTTGTCGTCCTCAGACTAAAGTCGAGCTGCTGTAAAATGCAGGCTCATGCTGTTCTCTAACAGCAAAGCTTTAACATCTGATCTTCCAAAAATAAAAGCTGACAAAGGAGCCATCACACATTTAAGATGGGAGACATTGTAAACAACACAAATGTAACCTTTGAAGTACACACCGAAGTCTCTTTCAACTACACTTGATTTCTGCTACTTTTTACCTTGATTACATTAGTCGCTGTGTGTCCGTGAGCCGCCTCCCTATCTTCCTCATCTCATATACAAAGTTACGCAGTGTGACCTTGGCCCTCATAGTATTATATGTACAGTCTGCTTTCTCCCAACACACACTGCACAACGCTTTTCTGTCTACATTATCTTCATCATTTAGACAGAAAAGCTTCTTTTTCCTGGTACAGCTGGTGGTTCCTGACAGAAGAAAACACAGTCAGTGTGAATCCTCCCACACTGGCACTGAGACGTTTGGTGTTGGACCCTGAGCTTTGACTGGTATGAGCTGCAGGTTTGTGTTCATTTGTTTGTAGTGTGTGGCATTTGTGTTTTGCTTGGTTCTGTTTATGCTGCTCTCTCAGCTCAGTCACTGTTGACGTTTTCCAACTCTACTGGGACCATTACAGTTATAAATACTTTATATTTGTGTTTTTATTGTAAAAAAGAAAACACAAACAAGTAAACAGGTACAATGTTTCATTAGCAACAGTAACAGCATAAGAGTTCCACATAAAAGTGTGATATGACTAACACGATCAACAACGCTGACGTTAACGACCAAACCAGACCTGCTCACGTTTGTTTGGTCTGGCACCTTCACTCAGATGTTATGGAAAGATATCACAAGTTTCATCTCTAACAGCATCTTATCAAAATTTGTATGTTTTTACCAAAACGTGTTATTTGGTTATACTGACTTTAGTGAGAAAGACTCATTGATCTGATTTTAATCAAACACCACATCTATAAAGGTTTCCACTTTCAGGAGAGAAACACAACTTTATGTCACTACAATTTGTTCATCTCCCAACATGAAAGCATTAAAAACCATGAAAATTTCATCATGGGCAGAACCCCCCCCCGACTTTGCCCCTATATGTTACACATTTCACTGTCTATCCCTTTTTTTGCTGCCTAGCCTGACCTGTCGGCCCAATGTAAGTTTGTATCTTGTATGTAATGTCTGTATGGGCGACTGGGTCTGTCATCTCAGCTGCAGGCAACTGACAAATAAAGCTCATCCTTATTATTCTCTTTATTTCATTTTTCTCTGTATGTGTCGCCTACCTCTGTCCTATTTGTTTAGTTATACATACTCTTCCACTGTATTATCATTTTGCACTACAGTTGTGCGACGTGTTCTTCGTGTATTATGTTTGCTGTTAAAGTTTCTGTTGAAATAAAGTTGGAGGAAAAAAAACGGTACGTCATCCATGCGACGTATAATGCGTGCGACGGGCCAAAGTACCCAGAGGCCTCGCGTGTGTGACGTATAATTCCGTCGCCGGGCTGCGAAGACTTTCGGGTCAGCTCGGAGGGTTTGTGCAGCAGGTTATCATGGCCCTGAGGACAGTTCGGCTGCTTATCCCGGCGAGAGCAGCTGCTTTCAGGGTAGTGACCGCGGCGCAGAAGGTAAGGACCCGCGGTGTGCCGGGTTTCTGTCCAGCTTGGCTCCACTCTGATTCACAAGGGCAAGCTATCTTAGCTTAGCCGCCACCATCACCGCCCTTCCGTCACAGGCTTGGTCTTAATGTTGACAAACAACAATAACACTCACCTGTGTACCGTGCACCTGTGGCCGTCCTGGTCCTGTTTGCATGGAGCAGCCTGAATTTGAACAACATCGCTCTTCCAGCTCTAACACAAGCTGAACAGTTTTAAACGGAATGACTGTTAAAATAGCAGCTCGTCTAAATAAATGAGTGCGTATTAGCTGATGTTATGATGCTAATATGTTGTTATGTTCCTGACAGTTTTTGAGGCTGAGTGCAGATGCTTCATGCTCCTTACCAGCTCCGGTCATAGACATGTCATTTCCTCTGTTTATGGATAATCTTGTAGTGCAGGGATGGATCAGTTAGCATTTAAGTGCATTTAGTTGCAGATAGAATATAAAACACATCCGTCACTTTGAACTCAGCACATGCAGACAGGAGGTGGATGCTGCTGCACACTTTAGAAGAATCTGAATACGTGGAGACTAAGCTGTGTAAAGATGGCTTACGTGTTCATTGTGCTTATATCAGTTGAATAAATACGTCGTGTTTATGTAAAAGTTTGTGATGGCTGTAAAGAATTAAAGATGACTCGTCCTGGGTTTTTAGAAATGCAGCTGCCAGCACCGAGCACTGATGTGATCTGACTGGAATCACTTAAACAGCTTCTCTAACTAAATGCAATATAACAGGAAAAATATACATTTAATGAATGATCAATCCTGTAATTGTTATTAATAAGACAATAAATGACAGCATCCCCTCATTTATTTGCACTTGTGCCCTTTCTGCTCGGCGTGACAGCCTTTAATGGTCACTGATTTCTCGCCATTTTCACCGTGAGTGCAGATACATCACGTTGAGCGCAGCTGACCACAAGTGAAATATTAACTGAGATGATGACAACATGTTCTGTTAATGCAAGTTGAGTTAAAAACGTCCCAACAGCTGTTACCACAAACAGGCTGCAGCCCACAGCAGTAATGTTGTTGGCTTCCTTTATGCTCCTGCTATCAGCAGATGGTCTCCTGACACCTGGTGGAATAAACACAGAACAACATTGAACTGATCGACTCATTGATCGCATGTTACTATACCTAATCCAGTTTTTAGAGTCAGGTCTGCGCTACAGTCGTGTGAACATTGAGGGGTGGGAATGGGGGCGGGGTTATGTCAGGGTAGTAGCTGTACACGTGTTAGTTACTGCAAAATCAGATATGCATGTTTGGTTATATCAGGGTCCTTTAAAATGCTATCATTAAAAATATAATGTTTACATATTAAAGCATTTTTGTAACATATTTATTTTTGATGTGTACACGTTGTATTCTTTCATTTTGTGTAGACACTTACTGACTCACACCAACCGATGTATAGAATAATCGTTTGAGTAATGGTTCGTTTGAGTGATTAGCAAACCCATCGTATCATTTAGAGGTTTATTCATTGGTTTCTGATGATCCAGGCCAGCGTTCATACAAGCTCGGTGAGAAGCCTGCGATATGGCTGGTGGGCCTACGCTCTGGGGGAGAGGACCACGCCACGCTTAAAGCAGTACAGCAAAGTCATCTCTGTGGATGGCAACCTGGCCTCGGGGAAAGGAGCGCTGGCCCAGAAACTGGCCGACAAACTGGGTAATTATCTAATCACAGGGATTCTTTCCCACCACAGCGATACGCAGCTTTAGACTGAGTGGGTACATAGTGCTTGGAGTTTACGCTGCAGACAACAGCTTCTACTTGTTTGTGCACAGGGATGCTGTACATGCCTGAGCCTGACACTTTCTACCTGGACAAGATGACCGGGGAGAAGGAGCCACTCCCCGTCGACTTTAATGGGATGTGCAGCCTGGAGAAGTTCTACACAGACCCCAAAGCTGCAGATGGAAACAGCTACAGGCTGCAGCTGTGGATGTACAACATGAGGCTGCTCCAGTACTCTGATGCCATCGAACACCTGCTCACCACAGGTATCTCTGACTCAGCAGTGTGGTTGATGCATGCGTACGGCAGAGATCTTCATCCTGGGCTTTTGTTTTTTAGGTCAGGGAGTGGTCCTGGAGCGCTCCCCCTTCAGTGATGTGGTCTTCCTGGAGGCCATGTTCAAACAGGGCTACATTAGGAAGGAGTGTAAGTGCTTCTGCATCACTAACAGCAGGGGGGGCGAGTATTACAACACATACAGATAATCAGCAGCATCTCCCCACTTTTCACCTGATGGTGATGATGTGTGCGACCTGTGGCTTTGCAGGTGTGCAGCACTACAACGAGATCAAAGACATTAGCATCTGTGAGTTCCTGCCTCCACACCTCGTCATCTATGTGGACCTGCCAGCTGAGGAGGTGCAGAAGAAGCTGAAGCAGAGCGCCAAGGTAGAGGCACATGTTCTGTTAGACCGCGGGAGACAGGATATCGGCTCAGTGTTTCATTAGAACAGCAGAAAATAAAAAGAAAACCACCTCATAGGTGAGTTATGTTTTACATGTGTTTGTTCTCAGTCCTACCTTCAAAATGTGCCTCTGCCATATCTGAAGAGCATCGAGGAGGGCTACAAGAAGACGTTTCTCCCCAAAATCAGGTAAGATTGTTACATATGCTGTTAGATATCTGACCAGAGTCTTTATATAAGGATGGACACTGGCTTCAAGGCAGAGGGTTAACTGCATACGGCCGAGTGTTTCTTTGACAGGCGTAGTCTTCTGACTAAAACATCATTTAGACACAAAATTCTTTCGTGTTGGTTGAATAATTACCTAAAAGTATATTAGACCAAATCCAGAGGTGACTCAGTTGACCCAAATGTAACATTTAAAAGTTTCAGACCACAAAAGGGAGAGAAATGCTTCTGCCAATCTGTCCAAAATTCAGTTTTTGGCTTGTTTTTGTGTTCAAAAAAGATTCAAGCTTGAATATTAGGTCAAATATTAGGGGGAGAGAGGAGGACTCCTGTCGTCTCCTCATCATGGTGTTTGAGTTTAGTAGTGATCTGTGACCGTTTGCTCATATTCCAGTAATATAGCCTCAGTACATCATTACTGTTGTTATACTGTCACCACAGCTGGAAGCAGGGGGGCATTAGTGGACACAATTTCACTGCAATGTGTGAAAGACCCAGAAGGTTTCTGTGTAACACCACCCCACCTCCCCCACCTCCACTTTTCCTTTTCAGTGAGACGTCAGAGCTGCTGGCTTATGATGCAACCCAGGCTCAAGATGTTGAAAGGGTAAGATTAAACTGCAGATGTCATCTTCACCTCCAAACAAACACAGTGGCTGATGCCTCGCACGCTGTCCACAGGTGGCAGAAGACATTGAATATTTGAAGTTTGAAAAGGGGCCGTGGGTGGAGCAGGATGATGTCAGCTACCACCACATGAGGATGCTGTGAGTGTTGGGATGTATTTTACACACCGTTTTGACTGGAATGCAAACGTGAGCTTTCTACCCTTTTCTACATTTCACAGTGTGGAAGATAAACAGAGGGTGGCAACCCTGACCCACATACCCAGGTTCCTGCCAGAGATAACCATCGGAGCACACGACTACGATCAAAAATACTACGCCTATAAGTCGGTATGTACGCATGTCACATTAGCTGCATGGAACAGGACCGCACTGAGCTGGTGCTTTGACATCTGTAGAGAGATCACGTTCAGACCACTGAGGTTCAGAGTCATCAAAGATTAGTAGTAAATGCAGCCGTGGCCTCGGTTTGAGTCCCCTACGTCTCCTCGTTCTGCAGTTCTTACATTCACACAAGTAGGCGTCCACACACACGTTTTCCTGGCTCTTATTTTGAAGTCAGTCACAGTGGAAAAAATACGACTATATCTGTGCAGCCGTTAGGAACGGGCCAGCCCGCTGAGGTAAAGCCTGTGTGTGGAAAACACTGCACCACCCGCACAGAGCTGATGGGTATTTTTGCCTGTAATGTGACACACACACACACAGACACACACCACATTGCTCTCTGTGGTTTCCCTGAAAGCCATTCATTGACAGCTGGGAGCAGCAGAGTGCACAGAAACACAGTGCGGCACAAAGGCAGGAGAACGACGCCCCTGAGCCACATTCAGCACATCTGCAGCTCCAAGGATGCAGACGATGTGTTTGGAGATCACAGCGCTGCGCGTTTCACCACACAACAGCGTGCGGCTGCCGTTCCCCGTCTGACAGCATCTTCAGTCTCCGTGTGCTGCATGGAGTCTGACCTGACCTCGTTGTTGAGCACTTTATTACAGCTTGTGTAACCATATTGAGGCTGCTGTATAAATCCTCCTCGTTTATACCGAACTCGCTAAGCTTTCCAGTACGGCGCTGGCGACACGATGCAGCTCATTTCCTTCTGCTGAATTATTGACCCGCTCGTAGTTACTCGATGGCAAATGCCAGATGTGGAATATTCTATGAGGTTGTTTGTATCATCGGTCTTGTGGGGAAACATTTGGGTCTGACCTTTTCTCTTTATTGACTGGTGACGTATTCGCCACCCACTGCTGCAGGAATCAGGCTCCATAACGCTGCAGAGGGCTGTAACCTGACATTTTGTTGTGAGCCCAGATCGTAGAGCAGAGAATGAGAAGGGTGACACATACTGGAACAATCTCCTCCAGTTTACAAACAAAGCCTCGGAAGGGCATTTGGATCCTGGCTGAATATGACTTCCACTGAAGGAATGTTGTCCAAGAGGCAGCTCAGCGAAGCTGACACAACTATCATCATCATCGTCATCATCTGCACTGGTTAAATGCACTCCTCTGTTGTTCTCGGTCCTTCTAGATCCCTGGGAAGAAGTACGCCCGTGGATATAACGCTGATGTTGGAGATAAATACATCTGGCTGAAGTGAACTTTCCACTCTCATCGTCGAATCAGCCCACTGAACTCACTGTCTTCTAATGTACATCCCAAAATATGTATGTATTAAAATAGATTCTGACTGAGTGGCTGCTGTCCTGTCTCTGTGTGTAACGGACTGTTGGCAAACACATTTGACCTGAGGTAATGACGGTGAGTTACTGTTGGTTACTGAGCCAAGATGGACCCCAGTAGTTTCTATGTGTTCAGGTGTAGCCAGCCTAAAGGTGTTTGCTTCAATATTTCCTCCTGTGTTTTACCCAGCAGCACTTTAGATTCATGCTGCTGTTCAGTGGCGTGAGCAGCAGGAGGCGCTTGTGAGCTCTCAATAAACAACAGTTAATGGAGTGTAGGTGCTGAATTATTCACTGGCACAGGCTAACATTAAAGGCCAAAACAGTTTCAGCGTCCAAACTGTCACAGGAACGGCCTGAGGAGAACGGCGTTTCTGCCTCTTAGTCTGGGGCGATGGCAAGTGAGCAGTGGAAAAACTGAACAATGAAATGATGTTTTCATTACAAGATCTCAAAATGATGAAGAAACTATTTTTGAGACTATTTCCTTTTTAAAAAATTCAAAAACTGTTCATCAAAACAAACATCAAACACCTCCCACAAAATGAGCCGTCTCAGGCTGCTTCCCCTCTCCAGTGACCTCTCCCATGCCCCCAGTACATGTACTGGGTTTGCTTCACTGTGTAAATGTTGCAGTCTTAGTCAAAGGTGGTTTAATGTCTGGTCTATAATCCAGCACCTTTGAGAATAGTTTTCTTAATTTGATAAAGTCAAAAAGCTCCTGGGTTTGAATCCAGTGTGTGTGTGTGTGTGTGTGTGTGTGTGTTCTCCCTGCCAGGACAGACAGTGAGGTTACAATCAGAATCCAAATGCTTGCTCCTGCCTGCACGTCATGGAGTGGGTGGGAGGTGTTGTCCCACATTGTCTTTATCTTGCACAACATCCGCCTCTCAGACTGAAAGATTAATTGGCTCTGTTTTGAGTTTTGTTCAAAAAAGAATGACTTCATATAGGGAAAAATATATATCACATGTGCAGGACACCTTAAACTAGTTTTTTAATTAAGCAGCAAGGCAGAACAAAGTCGGGGCTGTATCAAGACACGAGGACTAAACCCCAATTCAACCAGACCCAGAACTGATCCGGAATTAAAACAAGACTACAAAGTTCAAAATCAGGACTACTGAGGACTTAACCAAGACAGAACCAGAATCAGAACTAGATGATAGTAGCACTAAAAATCATCATAGACCTGCACTACACTTATTTTTTAATTCTACCAAAGTCCACTATTTAGATTGAGAAAAGTTTATATAATTATTTAGCCTTGTTGTGCAAACAAGCCTGCATAACTTAATAAATATAGAATTTGAAAAATAACAAACCTAAAAAGAAACACTAGGTACGAGATACATGAGGACCTATGATACGGTGATACTTTTGGTAAACGACCATTTGACTAACATGTGTCTCACCTGCTCTTGTTCATCTCTGTTCTGTCCTCATTCTCCTCTCTCTCTCTTTGTGCTGACAATCATCAAATATACAGTTGAAACCAGATATTTACTCTTCAGATAAAAACACTTTTTTAATTGTAACATCAAATCAGACTAAATGTTTATTTTTTTAGATTGATAAATATAAAAACATATTTGTTAACTTTAAGAGTAAAGAGAGAAACTATCTGTATTTCTTAATTGCAAATGGCACCAAATTGTATTCAAACTTGAGCCACACTTATGGAGCTCCACAGTTCTTTTCCTGGTGTTTTGGTTGACATCTCTTGATGTTCCCATGTCACAGAAACAGGCTCTGTGTTTTGCCTTATATGCATCCACAGCTGTGCCACCATTTACTCACATGGACTCTACTAACCTATCAGAAGCTTCTTCAGCTCAGAATGGAATCGTCTGGAGTTTTCTTATTAATTAACAATAAACTTAGTGTATATGTACTCCTAAATTTGATGAAAGTGATAAAAAATAGACAGCTCTGTCTCTCTTTATTCTGACATTTAACTAATTCAAAAGATATTTCAATATTTATCTAAAACAAAAGTTTACTCTAAATTGATGTTGTACAGTAAAAATGTTTTATGTTTTCTCCCTAAAGTGTAAATATCTGGTTACAAATGTGAATATCCTGCTGTGTACTGAAATCCCTCTTGTTTTGCATAGAAATATACTGAACAACATACAAAGCATAATATATAAAATAACATTTACCTGAGTTTTTTCTTTGAAAGAAGCCTCTAATGTCCATTCTTATGTTTCAGTACATAACTGAAACCGATTTAGTCGGGGAGGGTAAGAACTGAAAATATGAAATAAACACACGTAAGCTAAGACTCTCTAAAAAAATAGCATTTGTTCGGCTTTTCATTTCGCCATTTGTTGATTCACTTGAAGAGCAGAGTAACGTAATATTGGTCAAGTGATCAGTTTGATATCAATCTTTCGTGATGCACCGTCATATTTACATTATTTGTACAGTACGAATGATTTGCTTTGGTACCTGGTCAAACTTAAGCTCTCCTTAGTATGGCTGGCTCCGTTTCTCCAACAGCGCACTCACGGCAGCAGCTGCCCCGCCCCCTCGCTCAGTCGCTTAGTGCCTGAGCTCGGATCATACCAATATCAGGGGGGATTCACGCACAGTCGTAAATTCCCACAGTGTGCACTATGTGCTTCGAATATTGTGTGTACTTTTTGTTTTATACAGTTGTCAGCCAGGCATCTAACTATGAAAAATTACACTCCAAAATACCCCGGGCTTCTGACAAAACAACCCGGGCGTAAGCCCAGTAAGCCACCCCCACACTCCGCCCCTGCTCCAAAGTGAAGCCCAAACACGTCTGTCGCCCCCTGGTGTCTGGCTGCAGTATAGTCCCCCTGACATGAAAGCTGATGGGATCTGGTCAACTAATAAACTCATATTTTCTTATCAAGTTGATTTGAGTTGAAGGAAACATCTTCACATATGTCGTATGGATTTTAATTACTATCTTAAAATTGAGGCGTATACAGTCCTTGGTCAACACGCTAGTCTCCATCAGCGCGACAGGCCGAACACTTACTGGTGTCTATTTTTAGATTTCACTAGACGAGCACTGCTTGGCTTGCTTTCCCTTAATGTCTTAATGCTAAAAAACTCAACTGTTATTTACGTTTATTTTTAACATAACGCCTACATTTGGTTTTCGTCACTACAGTAATGACTTTTTAAAACTTGTCCAAATGGGGTTAAAAGTTTTCCTTAGACTAAAAGTCTGCAGATGAAATGTGTCGTCTCAAACCCATCTATCAAAAACATGATGACAATTGTGTTAGGAGAAAGCTTTCGACTGCAGTTACATGGAGTAGTGTGAATAGTGTTTTCATACCATAGAAGCTTTTGAACTGATTGAAAGGAAGCAGAGCTGCAACAGGACAAATGATACACAGTTCCTATAGGAAGGAAATCAAACGTGTGGTAATGATGTTGCTTGTTCCCAGTAAGCTGTGTATGAAATTGTCAGTAAGCACAAACAAAATGTGAAGGTTGTAAAGAGAAAACATGTAAGTGGGAGATGTCATAGAGCCAGGACAGAATACTGAACACAGATTGTCTGAAAATAGAAATTTACAGCAAACCAATGAAAGAAACAGAAGTCGGTGTCACTGAATGAAACTGCATTCACATGTAGAGAAACCACCAGTAACACCTAAACAGACAAGCACAGTCAGGTAGTGGCTGTGGTCAGAGGGACAGTGCAGTGAGGCTCAGTGAACCCTGAGAGCCTGTGGCGGTGCTCGGTCCTGAGGAGCTGCTCTGTCTGCAGGAACTGCTGGAAGCAGCTTGATGGAGTCACTGGTTTCATGACTCAAATAACTGAGCCCAGTATAAAAACATGTACTACCTTATCTTACTACTGTGTAATGGATGATTCCATACTCTACTTTTTTCTACTCTCTCATTAGTTAAAAATGGTTTAAATCAATTTGTTTATTTAATTTAAAGTAAATTGTAAATATAGCTCAAAAAAGCACTCAGTGCCGTCGAGCCAACAGTTTGTTACCGTTTCTTTAGCTCATCTACAAAAAACGTTTGACAAGCATAAAACATATTTTTGCACAAACACAAAAAGCTGTTTGCCAAAAACGTGGCATATCTCTGATGATGTGTAGTGTTTCCTTAACATGAAATGACAAGCCTAAAAAAGTACAACTACAGTGAAACGAAATGAATCTGTTCCCGAGGGTCGAAGTCGAAGCACCCATCCCGCCTTTTGAGTGAGGCGATGCTGAACGATAGGCTATAGGCTAATTGCTAACTAGAGCAACGTCGTTCAAGTGGAACAGCGAAGCCAAGGGGTTGTCACATGATTCAGAAGGCATTGTAGGCTCAGCCAATCAGAGCGAGCAGATTTCGTTACTCGAGCATTTTGCAGAAATATTGCCATTCAGTGCCTTCGTAACTTGAATCTTTCGTTAAACAGGGTATTCGTAAGTCGGGGTTCCACTGTATCTGCAATAGATATGTGCCAGGACCTGAAAGTCCTGAGAAATCTGGCCTTTCTGATGAGGCTTTGGCCATCTAAGCCTCATCACTTCAATTCAGTTTTATTTATATAGCGCCAAATCACAAACAGTCGCCTCAAGGCGCTTTATGTTGTACAGTAGATACAGAGAAAAAGCCAACAATCATATGACCCCCTATGAGCAGCACTTTGGCGAGAGTGGGAAGGAAAAACTCCCTTTTAACAGGAAGAAACCTCCAGCAGAACCAGGCTCAGGGAGGGGCGGGGCCATCTGCTGCGACAGGAAGAGACATGCTGTGGAAGAGAGACAGATTAATAGCAGGTATGATTCAGCAGAGGTCTATTAACACATAGTGAGTGAAGAAGAAACTGCAGATCTGTTTTCAAAATGTGCTCTGACCCCAAACACTGACAATGCAGTAAAAACAGGGTAACAAAACCCAAAATACACAACAACAACACTATCAGCCTGACCTGGCTGCTGTGATCATCCAAGTACAGATGTTTTATTATCGTATAATAAAAACTGCTTTTGCTTTTGTTTGCACATGTTT